TTAATCATGTTAGGAATCAAGATAAGATAGCCCAGTGACGTCAAGGAACTCTGAGCCTACAGCCATGCCGGCCAGTGCTCTACCCATTCAGACAACGTTACCCACAAAAATGAAAAGGGGAAGAGGCAAGAAACCAGCAGTAGCAACCAGTAGTCATCATCTGAGGTCAGAGCCAGGAGGCTAGCCAGGAGACTCTGCAGGCCGTACTAAAGCTAGGTGATCCGCTTTCTCCTCGAGGCGTCTGCCGGGCTGGCAGGGCTCTTGGCAGCCAGCTTGCTGTCCTGCCGCGTAGATTCCCCAGACCTGCCCCGTGGCTCAGCAGCTCGTGGCCCATTTCTTTCTTCCCCTCCCTCTGGTGCCCAGGGCGCATGTGTGCACGGCGGCGGTGTCCACGGCATCAGAGTTCTTCACGCTGGGCAGTCTTGAAGGTCTGTATTTATGCATGGCTTCAAGTACCTCTTCTATCTCCTTGGGAAACTGGTGGAAAAGCCAGGGCCATAAACCAGTTCTCCAGGCCAGAGGAGAGCAGGGTCTTAGGGTCACACCTGCTGGGCTTGTTATTTGGCGCCTGTTCCGGCTGGGGGCTGGGACTGTCACGAGCAAGCTGGTACTGATTCCAGTCCAGACCTCTCCCTCAGACCGTCCATTTCCTTTCTCACCTCTGGACCCTGCTCCCATCACCGTCTCAGGCAACAGGCTTTCTCCCTAGAAAGCCAGCTGGCCCGGGGTGTGTCTCCTAGCCAGCTGCCGCCTTGTCTGTCTGAGAGTGTGTGCATGGTGCTGTGAGTGGTCTCTCGCCCTCGGAGAAAAGCACACTCCATCCTGTCCTTCTAGAGATGGAACGGCGCTCTTCTTTTTGTTAACGTGCACTTTTTGTTCTAGTGCTTTTATCTTTGCGCTTCTCAAAGGGAAAGGGACTCCATTCACCCACCTCCCTCCCACGGTGCCATCTGAGGTGTCTGGGCGGGGGGGCGAGGGGTGGGCATTGTGCTGCTCAGAGGGCTGGGTGGGGCATTCGGGACACCTTGATGTGTCCCTGTAAGTGCCTCTTTTTTCACCTCGCTTTTAAATTCTTCTTCATCTCACACGGGACCTCTGTAGCTTCTGTGTGGTTTTAAAATCACCTTTGAGTTCTGGCTAAATTGTTGTCTTCTGGTGTCTGGGGTTGGGAAAGAGATGCCTTTGGCCTCTGGACTTGGCCTTCTGATGCCCGGGTGTTCCTGTGGCCCGCAGCTGTGCTGGCTGACTTGCTGGAGCACAGCTTCTGTAAAGTCCTGTGCGTCATACCACTCACCCGTGAGTGTGGGTCCTTGGGGCTTGAGGGCCGTGAGGCCGTGGCAGGATGGGGAACAGTTCTCCCAGGGGTCTCGCACCCTGTTCGTGCCCCTTACACTCTGCCATTGCCAGCCTACTCGGCATTTCACCCCTAACCACCCACGTATGGGCGTGTCCCCCCCTCACCCTCCCCCCCTGAGTCCGTTGGGGTCCCGAGTGGTCTCACCCCTGGTCTGGTGTTGTGATTCAAAGTGGTACCATCTTTTTAGTGTAATTTTCAAGCCCCTGAGCGCACTTCTCTCTGAGAGCGAGCTCCACGGGCCCACACAGAGCTCTGCTGCCTTCGCTGCCCTGGCTCTGGGAGCTGGAGTAGCCCGGTTGTCGGGCAGGGGAGGGCCTAAGTCACAGTGTCTTTCAGAGACAAGGCTGGCTGCTCAGCCTCTGTGCCCACCCGACGGCACCGAGGTTCTGGGGTTCTGAGCTGGCGCAGCGATCACCCTGCTGCTTCAGCTGGGGAGAGAGGAGGCCTGATCCCACCACACTGGCTGTCACCCTTCCGTAAGCTCCCGGGGCTGTCTTCTCCAAGGAGACCTCAGAGGCCTCCGTCCACAGCGTCTTTCTGTGGTAACACTAGTAACGTTGCTGCCGCCCGGCCTGGTGCTGTAGAGCCCATGTGTACATGAGTTCTGGTTGCCAAACGAAGCGCTATAACGACTTCGCGTAGGTGATGGGCTGGGCATCTCGGCTCTGGGCACTGCAGCGTGTGTCTGGGAGTCCATGCCAGCTGCTTCTCAGCCTCCCGGAGGCACGCCCAGCATTGCGTGCAGTCTCTCAACTCCAGTGCAATCTAGAGATGATCCACCCCGGTGTGGTGCGGTTAGGCGAGCTCCTCTGGCTGGCATGGGGATGCCAGCGCACTACTTGAGTCAAACCACACGAAGGTTTTTAGATGTGAACCTCTGGCTTCAGCCAACACTCGGCGTAGCTGTGTTTTCAAGTTCAGGCGTTCAGACTCCGTTTCTTACAGAGACTTTCTATTCCGAGTTTGCTGCGGCTGGGGTTCTGTTCCCAGCCCCCTTCACGCTCCTCTCGTTCGCACATCTTCCCACATAGCATGAGCGCAGTGCAAGGCAGCCCTGCAGGGAGTTTCAGAAACCGAGGAAGGAAACCCTGGTGCTTTGTGCGTCAGCTCTCCAGGTCGAGGCTGTTGTGTCTGTGAGCTTGAGACGTTGTTACATGAACGCAGCAGCAAGGCTTTCTCCATTCAGTAAAGTACCTGGAAAAGCTACCCCCCATGTGGGGTCATTTGGCATGTTCACCACGGAAACCCTTTCCCCTGGCAGAATGTTTGGTTTTTTTATCAGGGTCCGAGCAACAGGATGTAAAACTTGGCTCTAATCTATTCATGCCCTCTACAGAGCTAGATTTAAAGAGTATTAAAAATAATAACATTTCTAAACAAAAGTCTTTTTTACGTATGTTACCTTGGGTTACCCAGAGTCACCCCAGGAAGCACAGGTGATTGCAGTCTGCAGAGAATCCGAGTTTCCACTTTCTTATCAAGCCCTCGGCTGGTTTCCCGTTCTTACTCACCCCCCCTTTCCCACAAGCACCTCCTCTTCTCAGGAGTGGGGGCTAAGGTGGGAGGGACGGCTAGGAGAATGGGTCGCAGGGGGTGGTCCAGCCTGACAGCTCTTGCCGGGCACCCTGTGGTGGCCCTGAATCAGAGGCCTCCCTACCCGCCCTGCGGCTGCAGCAGTCCCCCCAGGCCCAGTACTTCCTCCGTCACCCCTACAGGCCTTGGCACCCACGGGAAGAAAGGGCTGTGCTGTGAGAGGTGCTGGGGCTGCCACCACCTGGCCTGGCCTGTAACACCCCACCCCTGAATGCAGAAGCCTTCTCTGTCTTGAAAAGAGTCACACAGCCAGAGGCACCCTCTGCAACCGACTGTCAGTGGTCCTTCCTCGAAACTGTTGTGTCTGTGTGGGGTCTCACCAGGGGGCCGAGTGCCACAGGCCGCCGAACC